TGTCACTATATAAATGGAAAAGTGATCAATTTCAGATATTCAAATTTATTCCTCCTCATACATTACTTCTCATTTTCTCTTACTAACTTAGGCGCTAAAGTGCTAACCTTACGGGACAGCTCCCCTCTCCAGCGCATCAGAAGCACCTGTCTACTGCACCAAAACATTGTCTCATTATTTCACCAATCATTTCTAGTTACTAACTTAAGACCCAATCCTCCCATGTCAGGAACGAGCCACCTATGTCGAGCAAATGTCTTGTCCAAACTCGCCAGCACGAAGAGGAAGGGCGGGAACAAATCCGTGATCCAGTAAATCCTCCCTTCCCCCCAGCATCAAGAGGGATACAACACCCCCCGAGGTAAACGCCATCGGCGACAACGACTACTGGATGACTCTGGTATATACGTACTTGTGTACGGGGAGACTTCCCGACAACTCGAAGGAAGCAACCATCGTCAGGCGCCGGGCATGTTCGTATGTCTTGGTTAAAGACAAACTATACAGGCGAGGATTCTCCATTCTCCTCCTCAAATGCGTCGACGAATCCCAGGTTTCGGACATACTCCAAGAGATCCACGAGGGTATCAACACCTAAGCTTAACTCACACCATGCAATTGTGAATGAGCGATTAACAATGGATTCAGAACGTTATACTTGAAATTATTAAAAGGAAGAGAACATACACATGAAGAGGAATGACACACCCATCATACTTGTTACGCACCCTCTTATCCTCAAGAGTAATTACTCCTCGGTTAGACTGAGGTTCCACCTCGATGAAAGCTCGATCCAACTGGCACTCAGATGGAGAATGTAGAGGCAGTGTCTAATGTCTCTGATCCACCCACATTAACGAATTGTTCTCATTTGTCTTACGAAGCATAATAAGTGGACTTTTCATTCTAAAGAATATTTCTAACACAGAAAATGCAAGTATGATGAAACGACATTTTGGTCAAACGTGTCAACAACAAAAATTCAAACACCAGAGATATGAAACATACTTTCCTTAAACGCCAACAGTTGAGGAAGCAAAATCAAGAAGAAAGATATAGATTTCACCTTAAAAGGACATTGTTGATAGTTTATGCGCTTCAGAAACCATCAAACTAGATATCACAAATGAAACCAATATGAAAATTAGCACAGAAAACCCCATAAGAAAGAGTGAGTTGGCAGTACAAAGAAGAAGAGTTTTTCGAGCAAGCAAATGGAAAAGGGTGGAAACAATGCTTCAGAAACCCTTTTATGTGTGGCATAGCCAGAATGGGCCGTACAATCAAATCATTGCTTCAATATTTCATCGATCATTTCTAGGTTATAAAGTGGGCAAAATGTAATATAAACAAATGTCAACAAGTTTATGAATAATTAATGCATTTGTTCAAAAATAATCTCTAATTTAATTATTTAAACAAGTTACTGATACTTATAATTCACTAGTCCCACGATTCTATTTATAAAAGAAAATTTATTTTTTAGATTGGTTGAATAATTAATATATTTAGACTATATGATAGATCAAATACATTGATAATTAGATGAACTTAAAAATTAATTAATTTTATATATATATATATATATATATATATATATATATATATATATATATATATATATATATATATATATATATATATATATATATATATATATATATATATATATATATATATATATATATATATATATATATATATATATATATATATATATATATATATATATATATATATATATATATATATATATTTTAAGGAGTTGACAATTTGATTAATGGCATATTACTAAGTGTATAAGTTCTTTTACATAAAAATCATAAACATTAAATACACTTAACTTATTTTTGTTACTTATAATTAAAATTGAAAGAATATTTATTTCAAACCTAATGAATATACTATCTCCGATTTTATTTATAAAAAAAATTTATATTTTAGATTATATTTGAATTATAACATAGATCAAATACATTATTATTCAATAAATATAAAATATTAACTTTCTCTGCCGACGAGAAAGGAGTAACAATTTTGTTCCTTTATTTAAGCAAACTCATTTAAATTCAAATTGTTTTCTTCTTATCACATTTCAAACTTGTTTACCAAATCAAAGGTCAAAAATAAGAACATACAAAAGTTAAGTCGTATTACTTGTTTCAACTTTCTTACCCTCTATTTTTCTACGCCATCCAATGTTCTTCAAGCTTTCATCGTTGTCTCCGTTGTGAGCACCATGATTTTAAATTGCAGATGAGACTGCAGATGCAGATGTTGTGATTGTGGCCATTGCGGCTCATAAGGAAGAATTTGATGTTTCTTTTTCACTTTCCATACTATTAACAAATATACACAAACAGAGGAACAAATAAAAACACATAACTCAACAAATGAAAACACAAAACTTAGTATAATGGAAAGAAACTAGTTTGAAAAAATTAGAGGAACAAATGAATAGAAATCAAAAATCTAGAGAACAAAAGATAAAAAAGAAATCATCTAAAAAAAATATCTGAAAAGAATTCTGGTTAAAGAAGTATAAAACTTGAAGAAATGAGCAAGAGTGGCCAAAGAATTGAAGGAAGAGCACTCAAAGAACTAATTAACGGGACGAATGAACAGGTAAATATATATAATACTAAGCACCGATTCAGTAGTCAATATTTTTCTTTTTCAATGTTTCCGATTCTACTTTTCCACATTAAAAATGATATATTATAAAAATAAAAAAAACATGGCTTCTGATATTCCATTCATAACCGGTATATCGCGAACATTGCGAAATTGAAATGTTATACCTGTTTTCGTATCGGATAGCCAAAATTCCGATACACAATACCTGTATACTGGGATTATACCGGATATTTAACAACACTGTTATAGAGAATATATGTAGCCACCACTTTTGATAGCCTTTAGGCCATCACCCCTCCTTAAGTTCAATGGAGGTTCACTAGCTTTCAGGTTAGTATGTTAATGTGTCACACACTTCTTTTTTATACTCCCACTCTTTGTACTATTAATTATAAATAGTCTAATGTGATAACGTTGGACGGCTCATGATAGTATGTATACTAACTCACGTATTGGCCACTCCATTAGGATCCAAACAGACAGTATATCATTTAATTTGCTCCCTCTGCTGTCTGCATAACACTCATAATTGCAATTATAAAAATTAGGACTGCTTATTGCTACCACATGCTCACATTGATTAAGAGAGATTAGCTGCATGTGCTGCATTATTGTTTGAATGTAACATGTATTTCTTGCTATTATATATAGTGAGTGCAAGAGAAGATGAAGAAGAATGTAAGTTGATCATTACATTTGTAAAAGACTGATGAAAAATTATAAGTCACCCTATTAGATTAGATTATGAATTCACCACTTTGATTAGTCCTAATGTTGCAAAGATCAGGGATGGACAGAAAAGATTAAGGATCAATAAATTATTTTGAGTGAGAGATAAAATGAGGGCTGCATTTAAGGTTATCTTACTAGGACTGCATAGAGATAAGTTATGAGTGACTCCTATTTTTAAGACGTCTGACTATCATCATAGTTATGGGAAGTGGAACAGTCAAGCGAACAACAGATATGGGCCGACCACAATCAGAGACCGCCAAACCTATAAAAGTAGAGCAACATCGCCCAAAAAGATCATCCGCTCAGGAAGTATCTCATCCCTTACATGACTCATGCTAGAGGAGAGGTGTACATGTCTGTTTTTTGGGTATGTCTTAGAAAGGGTTGAAAAAGCTAGTGGTCCAGATAGGCTATACCGGTCCAAGTCTAGCATGTGAGAGACACACCACATACTCGTCCAAAACCTTATGGTGATTGGCGTATTGGTTCTTCCAATTATAAATGTTCAAGTTTTTATATTTCTAACCAATGTGAGACTTCTCCACTCTACTCACTGTTGGTGATTTTAGTATCATCAATGTATTTTAGTAGTAATGTGATTTACTATAGGCCGATGCAATTATGCGTTAAGCTTGAAAACGAGTTAGGGTAGTGCGGAGTGCACGCTTGTCAAGTCAACATATAATTGAATACGAATAATTGAAACGGGGTTCTAAGGGGCAGAGCCCCTGGCCGTTGGGGTTCCAAGGGGCAGCGCCCCGTTAGAAAATTTTGAATAAGTTTAACCCTTTCCCAACCGACACAACCGTTTTCTGAACAATTGTGTCTTTCCGGTTTATGTTATTGATCTCCTATATAAGGAGTCATTTGGCCTCGGTTTCAAACACAAGAAAAACGAAAACACTTTCTCTATATTCCTAATCTGTTCTCTTTTGCCAGAAACAGATTGTTCTTCGAGAATTATTCCCACAAAGATTTCGTGAACCCAGACAAAAATAGGGTCGAAATACTTTGTTCAGAAAGTGTACGAACACGATTCTTCGAAGTTATCCAGGATTATCATACCTAATTTCTAACACTCACACTTGTTATTCTCAACATAATTCTCAATCATCATTAAAAGATCATACGAATCAGGAGAAATCACTTTAATTCACCTCTGATGGCCTTTCTTTTAAGACAAATCAGAGTGGCTATATAAGGGGAAGAACGCGAGAAAAAAAGATATAAACAATTTATAACAAAATTCAAATGTGGTTTTATTGGTCTCCACTAGCTGAGTTATCATTGATAATTTTTCCAACTATCGCATAATCATAACAAAGTCACTAAATTACTTTGTATTTTATATTCCATTTTAAGAGTCTATTGAGTTTAATATGCTCAAAATAGTATCATAATCTTGTGCACAGATTAATCCTTTTTATTGAATGAAAGATTAGAAAAGATAGAAAAAAAAATCACATGAAATGAGTAAAGGGTAATAATTAGTATAAACTTTTCATTGTATTTGATTGTAATGTTTTACTATTGAATTGTATGTATCTATACAGATTGATTAGACAAAAACTTTCTCAGTAGATCCGTAAAATTTGGATGTTTTGGAAAGAAAATAAAGACCCAACAAACTATTGAGTGATGATGTTCAAAAGAGAAACTCTTGCTTTCACCAAACGCTTAAACACACTCTCCAAACCATTTTCTATCCTTTCAACTGCATCCTCCAAAGCCTCCAAACTTTCATGTGTTGCCTGCATCTTGGCAGCATCAGAACCTTCTCTTAAAAGGGTTCTCAAAGATGCTTCTACGCTTTGCAATTCATTGAAGTTCTCCAAACTCTCTTCACATGATACTTCCTTTTTATGCATCAACTTTGTCACTTTCAACCATTTGGTTGCCTTTGACTTGGAAGCTAAGAAAGACAAAATGGATTGAAAGATAGATATGTTCGTTACTATAGCCTCTCTAAGAACTCTTATCACAAAAATAACTTCTTGATCTTGGTTCAAAAGTGTGGAAGCTCCAAATTTACTTTTCATATGTTTTAAAGATGAAATCAGTTTTGTGATATTCTTCTTCATCTTCTTTGAGAAGAATTTATATTCGGATACACTTTTTTCAATGCTTAAATCTCCCTTTCTCCTTCTTAGAGAAGAGTGAAGTGATTGAACATTTTCTTTAATTTCTAAGAAGGTGTCTCTTGTGATACCACAAATATCTAAAATTTTAATTGAACCATCCAACAACTCTTCCACGAATTTCTCACCTTAATGGTTTGTTAAGAATTCTAGAATATTGGTGGTTTACATATATGTTCTGATAGTAATGAAAATGAAACGATGCAAACAGTGAAATTGTTAGAGCATCTCCAATGGTGCAACCCATTTTTAGGTTCTTTGTGGGACCCACTCTTTTAAAGCAACTCATTCAATTTTCACTCCAATGGTGCAACTCTAAAGAATCCATATTGGGTCCCACCACTTTACTTAAAAAATATTATTTATATTAAATTTATTTTATTTAAAATTATAATTTAAATATTTAAATTTTAATTAAAATGATAATTAAAATAATAAATAAAATTTTATATCAAATTATAGTTTTTATATTATAAAATTAATATTTTAATATAAGAACCATTGAAGAACCGTTGCATATTTAAGAACTTTTCCATCTTGAGAACAACAAATATGAGTGTCATGTTGGCAAACCCACTCTAAGAACTCCCATTGGAGTTGGTCTTAGTTATATACCATATTTATTAATGATACATATATCATGCATACAGTGAACCGATGAATGTATATAATAAATATATTGGCTTATATATGATATATAATTTTATTTTGTATTATTATGGTTTCTGAAAAATATATACAATAAAATTTTATCAATATGTGTTTTGCCAAAAGCTTTTATTAATGCTAAATTATATTTTTAATTTTTGTTCTCGCACTGATTTTATATTAAATGCATGAAAAAATACCTCATAAAACAATGTGAGAATTGCCCATGCACATATTTTGATCATATTGTTCTTGGCCAATGTATTAGTACTAGTTGAAGAGTAAAATTGAAAAGTTGTGTGTAATTTTGTGTTTACATATCTACGTACTAGTGTTTAAATGGATTGTATACATTTTAGTAAGTTTAGGCCTATTATTGATGAAATTGAAAATTTGAAAATTTAAAGGATGAATTTCTTGAATACTAAATTTGGATTATCGAAGGATGGATCATGACTTATATAGACTTTTAAATTTGGAGTCTAATGTAATTATTGAATTCCAAGAAGTAAAATTTCTTAAGAATCTTATCGTGAAGGATAAACAAGAGAGTCTGAAAGACTAAGGATCTAGGGTCGAACAAAAATAATTATCGACTTATTTACTTTATCTTGTGGAAGGGGATGGTGAGAATTTTGTTCGAAATCAAGTGGAGGATGATCTTAAGACTTAAAGGGAAGAATTAGTTTCAAAGGACTTCTCTTTTTGGAAGGACACTATCAAGGACAAAATGAACTCTATAATGTCAAACTAAAGATTTTTATACAAAAGAAATGTGTTGATTATGTCAACATATATGCACTCGTAGGAAGGATAGCAGTTATATTATAAATAACATATTAGTCTCTCATATTATGTGTGGTGTGACAAAACCTAATTAGGGTGAGAGGATTATTTGTTATTCTTGAGTACTTGTAATCTGTTTTATAGAGAAAATAAAAAATAACAGTTATAACCAATCCTTGCTGTTCTCCTTGTTTTTCCTTAACCCTAACCCTTGTGTGTTTCTTGACCATAAAGAAACTGAGTATATTTTATTTTAAGTCATCCTAATTCACAACAAATTGGTGCGGTGGGCATGGAGAAGATGCCTTCAACAAAGTATGAGATTGAAAAGTTCACCAGAGTGAACGACTTCATTCTGTGGCGCTTGAAGATGAAAGTCCTAAGAGTCGTGAAGAAACAAGGCTTGTATACCCTTGAGGCTGAAGTTGTAAGTGGTTCGACAAATGTTGCATCCACCAAATCGTTGTCGAAAACAAAAAATTAGCAAAGACAAACTATGCTGGTCGAATTAGGGAAACAAAATATGCTTGGAGGAGACAAAGTCGAAAAGCTGAAATTTTGTAAACCTTATGTACTTGGAAAATCTTGTAGAGTGAAGTTCAACAAAGACAAACAAAGAACTCATGAATTCCTTGATTACATCCATGCCGATCTTTGTGGGTCTGCAAGGTATCCATCACATTCAGGAGCAAGGTAATTTTTATCCATAGTTGGTGATTATTCCAGGAAGTTATGAGTATTCATCCATAAGACTAAGGATGTAACTTTTGAGAATTTCAAAGGTTGGAAAACACTGGTTGAAAATCAGACTGACAGAAAGGTCAAGAGGTTGAGAACCAACAATGACCTTGAATTTTGCAATGAGGCATTCGACAATTTTTATGTTGCCTCAGGTATTGCAAGGCACAAAACTACTGTATGGACTCCACAATAAAATGGTTTGCCATAAAGTTTTAATCGAACTATTTTGGAAAGAGTTAGATGCATGTTGACTAGTGCTAGGTTAAAGAAGGTGTTTTGGGCTGAGGCTGTTTCGACAACAACATATCTGATAAACAGATGTCTTTCGACTGCGTAAGATATGAAGACACCTGAAGAAGTTTGGTCGGGACATTCACCTAGTCTCGACAAACTGAGAGTATTTGGCTGTGTGACCTATGGTCACATTAGGCAAGACAATGTCGAATTTAGAGTTCTAAAATGCATGTTCGCATGGGATACTCTAAAGGAGTCAAAACTTATAGGTTATGGTGCCTAGAGCCAGGTCACAGGAGGTGTATCACCATTCGAGATGTAGTTTTCAATGAGGTAGAGATGGCTTTCAAGAAAATGAATTATGCTGACGAAGAGCTGGAAGAGGAAGAGATTCCTATTAAGGTGGAGCATGTTGATGCTGAATTACGTACCCTAGATGAAGTCGAAGAAGAAACATAAGTTGTTGTCGAAGATGAGGAGACTGATAATGACTACCTGCTAGTAAGATACAGGTTGAGAAGAGTCATCAAGCCACCTCAGAGATTTGGGTATGCAGATATTATATCTTATGTCTTAATCTCTGCAAGTGAGGTTTTCGACGAAGAACCTAGAGACTATAAGGAAGTTATGAGGAGTCAAAAGAAGACTGAATTGCTGAAGGCCATGGATGATGAGATGAATCTCTTCATGATAATAACACCTGGGAACTGTTCAAGACACCTGCTGGAGCCAGATTAGTCAACTGTAAATGGATTTTCAAAGTTAAGGAAGGAATCGAAGGAGTGTCGTCAAAAAGATACAAGGTAAGGTTGGTCGCTAGGAGTTTCACTTAGAAAGAAGGTGTTGACTTCAATGATGTATTCTCTCCTGTTGTGAAGCACATATTCATTCAAATGTTGTTTGCCACGGTGTCATAGTTTAACCTTGAACTGGAACAGATGGATGTGAAGACTGCGTTCTTGTATGGTGATCTAGATGAGACAATCCTGGTGAGGTAACCTGAAGGGTATGTCGAAAAAGGGAAGGAAGATTATGTGTGCAAGCTGAAGAGATCCTTATATGGACTGAAACAATATCCTCGATAGTGGAATAGGAGATTCGACAAGTTCATGGCAAGCATAAGTTTCATTAGAAGTTAGTTCGACCACTGTGTTTATTTCAGATTTCGACCTGATAATTCATTTGTTATTTTGTTGCTTTATGTGAATGATATTCTAATAGTAAATAAAAATGTCGAAGATGTAATGAGGGTGAAGGCTGAACTCAATAAGGAGTTCAACATGAAGGATCTGGGAGTTGTGTCCAGGATTCTTGGGATTGACATTTGAAGAGATAGAAAGCAGACAAAATTATGCTTACCTCAAGAGGCATACCTACGAAAGATTCTCGAAAATTTTGGTATGTCGAATTCAAAGCCTGTTGTGACTCTGAAAAACCCTCAATTCAAGTTGAGTATAGATCAGTGTCCCAGTACTGATGTCGAAAGAGCTTTTATGGATAGCATTCCATATGCTAATATAGTGAGTTCTTTGATGTATGATATGGTCCGTACTAGACCCGACATAGCATATGCAGTAAGTCTTGTAAGCAGGTACATTGCAGATCCTAGAAAGGCTCACTGACAGGCATTGAAGTGAATTCTAAGGTACATAATGGGTCTCTGAACAGAGTCCTAGTTTATGGTGGAACCTTGAGTGAAGATAGTAAAGTATAAATTAAAGGATATGTCGACTCATATTATGCAGGTTGTATGGATTCTAGAAAATCTATTTCTGGATATGTGTTTGCAATGTTTGAAACAACAATCAGTTGGAAAGCAACACTTCAGAAGGTTGTTTCCTTATCAACCACTGAAGTGGAATATATCGCCCTAACTGAAACAATGAAGGAAGCATTGTGGCTTGAAGGTTTTGCAAAGGAGCTGAAACTTCAAGGTCGAGTTGTCATTGTTAAATGTTATAGTCAAAGTGCAATACACCTGTCGAAGAATTAAGCCTATCATGAGCGAACCAAGCACATTGGTGTGAGGCTGTATTTCGTTAGAGGGTTAATCAAGCATGGAGAATTCCAAGTGTTGAAGGTTTCGACAGATTATAATGCTGCTGATATGATCACCAAGACATTGCCCAATTGCAAGTTTTTCCATAATATGCAGTTGATAAAGCTGCATGAAGAAAGCTAGTTTGTTTCTTGATGGTAGAGTTAGATCCAAGATGGAGATTTGTAAGATATTGGATCGAACTCTAGTTAGCATACCATCAAAGTTTGCTCACATGCTGTTGTCGAAGAACTACATGTTGTAGTCGAATTGTGTTCTAGTATGTAGTTGTCGAACGAATTGGACCTTGTGTTAAGGATCCAATTGTTTAGGTTAGCTTGTACCCTAAGTTAGATTGTAATGGATAATTGTTAAAAAAAAAACCATTAGTTTACTATGTTAGATTTTATTATAAATAGCATACTAGTCTCTTATCTTAGGTGTGGTGTGACAAAACCTAATTAGGGTGAGAGGGTTATTTGTTATTCTTGAGTAC